TCAAGGTGAACGCTATACACATAATATTCTTTATCAGTTTAACAATCGTTCCCTATATGACACATACACTGGCCACCACTGCCCATACCTGTATAACTCTAATATTGTTCATATTTTTATCTGTTGTATATTTTGTAAATCGTTTAGCCGATACCCTCTCCCAAACGGGTTCGTCGTTGTTGTGTCTCGCCCGGTGTGTAGAAATTTTTTCGTAAGCTCTCTTCCCTTTGAACCACCGTCGTGGTCTGTTTTGCTGTGTTTNTGAACCACCGTCGTGGTCTGTTTTGCTGTGTTTGTGCAGCCAATTATAGTTTTTTTCTCGTGTTCGTTTATAAATATAATGTATTAATTCAGCAAGGCGTCGGCCATTTCCGGGGCCGAGATCCCCATCTTGGGATGAGTCCCGTCCGGGACTGGGTATCGTATTGTTGATTTTTTTCTTTTATTTATTTAATATAATGTATTGAGCCTTTCTTTTTTCTTTTTCTGTCATAAATTAATTTTATTATGAGATATAAATAATTTTAGCGTTGCTGGTTATAAGGTTATTGGTCAGTGGTGTGTCATGTATATTTAACATATATATATATATATATATTATTCCCGCAGTACCCAAGTACGGTCCGGCCGGCCAGATTACAGAAATTATCCGCCGCGCCCGGAGTACACGGACTTGTTCCGATGCGGAAGACGCTTCACGTGTAATATTTAAAAGTTGTAGGTTAATTTTTTTTGTCTTAATAATTGTTTTTTTTTTCATTTCTCTTTTGTCCCTTTATTTGCAGAGTGGTTTTTGTCCACTATTAACTTAATTGTAATAATTTAATAAAGTCTCCTTAATTTTCTTAATCAACAAAAATCTTTTTATTGCGTGAATATCTTCAATATTCACGTGTATCTTATTTTTTTTTCCTTTAAATCATTTTCTCTAGTTTTAAGGTAACGGTCTTCGACATACTAAAGTATGTCCACCACTGGTGACATCAAACAAACATATTGGTTATATTTACAAGGTATCAGCGTATTATAGTCTACAACAACACTTTATATTTTTAGTATATGTTTATATATATAAAATTTTTTTTTTAATTCACTTTGTCTCATCGAAATGCATATTATTGGTTTTCTTATTATTTTTTTTTTAAATTTTTTTTCTATTAAATCCACTTATGGTCCGGGTGTTGTTCTTTTCTGATCAAGACCCTCGCCTAAGTGGTTGGCGACCCATTTTCCTTTTTGCAAGGGAGCCATGAGGGTGGCGACTCCACAATCCGTTGCGTGGCCCAAGTCTTCACCTCTATTATATTTTAATATTTTATTTTATTTTTAATTTCTGTATATTAATTAGATAATATTTTAGTTTAATAAATGTTTAGTCTTTAATTTAATACAAATACTAGAGAATTAATTATTAATCAGATTTACTTTATAAGGATTTTTTCTTACTAACACAATTATTCTTAAGTCTATATCATAAGTTATCATAAGATTATATTTACATATATATATATATATATATATTTTACTTTATTTTAAATTTCTGTACACAAATTTAATATTATTTTTGTTTAACAAATGTTTATTCTTAAATTTAATTCAAATACTATAGAATAAATTATTAATAAGATTTAATTTATAAGGATTTTTTCTTACTAACACAATTATTCTCAAGTCTATACTATAAGTTATCATAAGATTATATTTGTATATATACAGGGTGATTGACTAACTATGCCTCACGAATTATCTCTGAAAATATAAGAGTTATAAACAATTTTTTTTTTTTAATCATTATGGATCTTTGATGAGCTGTTTCACGAGAAAATTTAAATTTTTACCACCATCCCTTTTGCTTAAAAATAGTGTCAACTTCATATTTTCAAATGGCAACACTAATTTTTTTTTATACCATTATATTTAGTTTAATAAAAAAAAAATGTTTTGTAAAAAAAATATTTTATTTTATTAAATATTAAGCGCTCCACGGCTCTCTAAAGTTTAGGGTTTATTAAGAAAAAATCATTACAGACGAGAACGTTATTTATCGTAAATCGATAAGCGCTACCACTTCTTGTCGGTACACTAAATAATAACGATACTATATTTACCCGACTACTGTTTTATTTGTTAAATCCCATAAACTTTAAATAGTAATATCTCGCTTAGAATTTATTAAAATTGATTTTTTTTTATTAACAAGATTAATAAAAAAAAAAACTGGGTTGCTATTTGAAAAACTAAAGTTGATATTGATTTAAGGGTTGAGGGATGAAGATTGAATCTTCATTTTTCTTGTCAAGTAGCTCAACAAAGATTTATAACAAATAAAATAATTACATATACGATAATACTAATATTTTTAAAGAAAATTCGTGAGGCATAGTTAGTCAATCACCCTGTATATATTTTATTTTATTTTTAATTTCTGTAAATTATATTTTGATAAGCATCCTTTCTGCTTTAAATCAGTATCAACTTTCACTTTTCAAATGGAAATTCTGATTTTTATATATATATTAGGGTGGTCCTTATTTATAGGAGAGAAAATTTTTTATAAATATTTGTCATTTCTCACCCCCCCAATTGGTTCATTATTATAAAAAAGTAATTTGAGTAAAATTTGGCCATGATTAATCAACCCCTTCAGGTGCCCCCAAGGGGTGAAAATTGATAACAAGTCGTTTTCTGAGTTATTTTTGCTTATTGATAGAAAAGTGTTGCACTAATCGTAAAAATGAATAGAATTTAAAATGTAGCTATTAACATTTCCAATAAAAAGTATTCTTATAACATTTTTCTCAAGTCTATTATTTTCCAAGAAAAATGATATAGAAGTCAATAATTTATTTTTTCTGCAAAATTGGTGTTTTATTTGTATTAATATATTTTAGAACAACGGTTGATAATATGCCCTGGTTTACTTGTAAAATGATTGAGCGATCAAATTTAACGATAAAATGTATAAAAATGGCTAGGAGCGGTATCATTGTACTGGATCATGTCGTTTAAGGTGGAAATGTACACGAAATGAATGCTGCGCAACCACATAACTATCGTTATTTTTGTAAAAAGATATTATCGTTTAAGATATTAGCGCGTTGTTTACAACTTCACTGTTCCATTATTATATGACATGTTACTTTTACATGAAAAGTATTCATCAAATGTTCTTATCTGAAATTGATTTCGAGAAAAGCTAATTTTGAAATCGGCCGTTTAACAAGTTGACTGGATTGAGCATTAAATTAACTCACATTTACATTGAGTAACAAGAAGCTTACCAGTCAACTTGTTAAGTGCTCTACACTGTATTATAGCATCATCATCAAAAATGAACCTCAGAGAATCAAGTAAAATATTTTTAATTGGTAACATGTCGAATCAAATTGTTGGCAGCAAGCTACCTTCCATAAGACAAGTTTTAAGTGTACTTTTTTTTAACATACGAAATGTAAAATTAAATGTTCACGATAGTGCAAAATTAGTTGTTCGTGAAATTGTTATATTCTGGGAAAAAGCGCGTATTCCAGTTAGAGAAGAATATAACTTAATTGCAAAAGTTGAATCATTGTATAATGAATGGCGAAACTTACAAAAACATGCCACTAGAAAATTAGTTGCTGATAAAAATAAGAAGAAGAATTTGTAAATAATTTGGATGATATTTTTGATATAGCACATGCTAATGCTCTTAATTTAATGAAAATAGAAAGCGACAAAAAGTTTTTAATAGCTCAAAGGACAAAAGGAAGATCTGGTTGTATGCTGGGAATAGATAGAAAACATCAAAAACTTGAAGAACGAATTAAAAAAAGGTCTATAAATTTTGCCGAAAGAAGAAATAGAGCTTATGATAAAATGAAATCTTCAGGTAAATTTTTTATGTATTAATTATAAATATAACAAAAACATCAATTAAAATTCAAATTTATCATAAGTAAGTAATGTGAACTTTTGACAATTATAATAAATCATTGAAACTTAAAGTTTGATAGAGATATTTTATTCTTAGCATGTAGGCACCATGTTTACGAAATACTTTTGCAAAGCATATTTACTGAAGTAAAATTAGCAACAAGTACAGGACCTGAAATTACCTTGTTTAAAAATTTTAAAAAAGAATGGCCAAATATTGATAAAAATTCTTATTTAATTTGGACTACTGATGAACATGTAAAAAATATTTTAATGGGAATTGCTGATGAGATGATACAATTTTGTAAAATTAAACTCGAAGAAGAACTACCTAGAGATGATTATAAAGAATTTCTCGAACTAATAATAATATTTTTAGGTGGTTTGCCACCTAAAGGTATAACACCAGGTGCTTGTCATATCGCACGTTGGATGGCCAAATCATTGTATTGTTTAAAACTATTTTTATTCCGACACCAGTTTAAAATTACTCAACGTGAAGATAAATGTTTAAAACGATTCTGCTGTTTTATTATAAAGTGTTACCCAGAATCGTGGTTTTTATGTTCAAATGCTCCTACGTTCACAATGAATGATATTGGGTTTTTAAAAAAATTGTATTTTTATAAAAATGACGATAAAGAAGTTGCTGAAAAAGCAATTATGAAATTTATTAATCATTTGTGGTACTTGAGTGAAGAGTGTGCGGCTTTTTCAATTTTTGATGAAAGGTTAAGTAATCATACAAGAAGAAAAATGGCTGAAAAAATTATGCATGGTACTCCTGAAAAAGAATCGCAAAAGAAGTTCATCCTCAAATTTGAAGATTTACAACACTTTCTTAACAAAGAATTACCATTAGATATTCTAGGGAATAATTAGAAAAACATATTTGAAAAATTTTAAATGTCTACTGATTTTTTGAAAGTTCAGTCAGACAAATGGAACGAACATGAAGGATACATTGAAGGAAAAAGAGTGGTAGAATCAATAAAAGTAGTCAACGATATGGCAGAACGAGGGGTCAAACTTATGACGGATTTCAATGAAAAGTTCACGAAAAATGAAGAACAAAATCAATTTGTTTTGCAAGTAATAATCCTTTGTTTTAGTTATAGAATATTTATTTTTCATTTAATTATTTATAATTTGATATATTTTCAGGTAGTTCAAGATTATAGAAAAAAGTTTCCTGGATGTAGTAAAGATACCCTGAAAGAATCATATAATTGAAAATTCATTTTTACTATCATAAATACATTATTCATTACTTTTATATTAAAATAGTCATTAGAATAATAATAATTATTATTATTATAATTATTATTTAATATCATTATTTTTATATTTTAAATTACAAAAAAATTTATCAGTATTTAATTGAAAAATGTACAAAATATTTTTAAGAGATTTTAATTTTAAACAAAATTAGTCTTGGACTTTTAGTTGTATTATTAATCATATTTAATATATGTAGAAAAAACTAACATTGAGACTAATTATTATATAAAATAATATACTTAAGTGAAATTCTATTTTATAGAAAATAAATTTTCTATGCATTTAGTCCTTTACATTTCTTTTGATTTTATAATAGTTTTTAAGATAATAAAAAAAAATCTGAAAACTACCCTTGGAAAATTTTAAGCTACTTCATTATTTTTCTTGGAAAATAATAGACTTGAGAAAATGTTATAAGAATACTTTTTATTGGAAATGTTAATAGCTACATTTTAAATTCTATTCATTTTTACGATTAGTGCAACACTTTTCTATCAATAAGCAAAAATAACTCAGAAAACGACTTGTTATCAATTTTCACCGCCTTGGGGGCACCTGAAGGGGTTGATTAATCATTGCCAAATTTTACTCAAATTACTTTTTTATAATAATGAACCAATTGGGGGAGGTGAGAAATGAAAAATATTTATAAAAAATTTTCTCTCCTATAAATAAGGACCACCCTAATATATATATATATATATATAAATCAGAATTTCCATTTGAAAAGTGAAAGTTGATACTGATTTAAAGCAGAAAGGATGCTTATCAAAATATAATTTACAGAAATTAAAAATAAAATAAAATATATACAGGGTGATTGACTAACTATGCCTCACGAATTTTCTTTAAAAATATTAGTATTATCGTATATGTAATTATTTTATTTGTTATAAATCTTTGTTGAGCTACTTGATAAGAAAAATGAAGATTCAATCTTCATCCCTCAACCCTTAAATCAATATCAACTTTAGTTTTTCAAATAGCAACCCAGTTTTTTTTTTTATTAATCTTGTTAATAATAAAAAATCAATTTTAATAAATTCTAAGCGAGATATTAGTATTTAAAGTTTATGGGATTTAACAAATAAAACAGTAGTCGGGTAAATATAGTATCGTTATTATTTAGTGTGCCGATAAGAAGTGGTAGCGCTTATCGATTTACGATAAATAACGTTCTCGTCTGTAATGATTTTTTCTTAATAAACCCTAAACTTTAGAGAGCCGTGGAGCGTTTAATATTTAATAAAATAAAATATTTTTTTTACAAAACATTTTTTTTTTATTAAACTAAATATAATGGTATCAAAAAAAAATAGTATTGCCATTTGAAAATATGAAGTTGACACTATTTTTAAGCAAAAGGGATGGTGGTAAAAATTTAAAGGTGNTCAGAAAACGACTTGTTATCAATTTTCACCCCCTTGGGGGCACCTGAAGGGGTTGATTAATCATGGCCAAATTTTACTCAAATTACTTTTTTATAATAATGAACCAATTAGGGGGGTGAGAAATCAAAATTTTGAAAGTTCGAAAATAAGGACCACCCTAATATATATATATATAACACAGCCTCGTATTATACTAAAATCGACGTTATTCAGCTATTTACTACAATATATAATCAAATTCGATTTAGTTAAAAAATTTTTTATTTTATTCAATTATCAGTGAGCTATGATTCATTAATGTTTAGGGGACGTGACTATACATAAGTTTTTTCCGTTTCAGTACAATACACCAGTAGTTTCTATCGAAACATTAAATATTCTTTTTCCATTTTCTTTTAATTCTATATATGTGTAATGATAAAAATGTTACTAAAAAAATAAAAAAACGATTGACATTTGAAGATAGAAATAAATATTTACGATGTGTAAAATTATGAGCAAAATTAACTTTACCAAAGATTATGAATTATTCTATTAAAAATTGTTATTAAATATAAATATATTTTTAAATCTTTGAAATTTTATAAAAAATAATAAATAATATTTATAATTTAATATTATTAAGTTGGCTATACGGGAAATGTATGATGAAACATTAATAGGAATCGTCTCTATGGTAAAAAAAAATATATCTTTAGCAACACACAATATATTGTATTTTTATAGTTATATTATTTTCAATATATTTTTAAAAGAGTAGTGTAGTGAATTTGTTTTACAAATGTTTTTTCTAACATTCCTTTAAAAATTAAACGACAAAAGAACATAATAAAAGTGATATAAGATTAATGACACTAGTATTACATTATTGTCTTTGCTATCAAACATCAATGATTTTTAAAATATAATTACTGGCCTATCGTTAATGTTATAATAGTAAAGTATTCTTGATTATTAAAAGTTACAATTACCATGGACACAAATTACTTTTAAAACACATTGCAATTTTCTTAGTAGATTGAAGTTATTTAATACTTTTTAATAAAAGCAATTTTCTTTCTTCTTGTGTATAAGGATTAAATAATTATACTAGCAAGTTTTCAAAGTTTCATGAAATGTACATTAAATTATATATGGTGATGCCCTTTTTTTTTAATATAATCCAATTCAATTTTCAAGAGTTATTAAATGCAGTACGATAAAGAATGTTTGCTGTTGAACATTCAGACTTAATCCAGTCGTAAGTACATTTATTAAAATATTATTTTAAAATATCTAAAATTTCAATAAATTACCATCAATATAGATATTATTCAAGGTATATTTACTTTATAATAATTAAACATTACCCAGAAAAAAATGTAGTCATTAAAAAAGTATACCACTTTATTTATGTAAATTACTAGATAATTTTGTTTGAAACCTTATTAAGATATTTTTTTTAAGTTTAAATAATTGCTGTTTATTTATCGTGTATGTTTTAACATCTATTCATCATAATTAAAATTTATTATATTTGTTAAATTCACTAATTGTATTATATACTTTATTTGCATATTAGTACTAATAGTAGTAATTACACAAACAATAGTACATTATGGGGAGGGTCGATAATAATGTTAGAAATATATTTTTAAATGATAATGATTAAATTGTTTTAGAAATAATTATTATTATTAAAAAAAAAAACCTTTGGAAAATTATATATATATTCAATGAGGTTCTATTAATTTTTGTCAATTTAGTAATACTTGAATAAAGAAGTTTGGACATTAACTTTTTTTTCCAAATATATTTTATAAAATTGATAAATTATCTCTCAGATTTAATGTTGGCCATTCTATTTCTCTTGGAAAAAATATTGAGAGTTATCTTTGAGCTTTCATTATATACATATATTTCTTTAATTATCTATAGTTATAATTTTTTTCTATAAACTTTTAATATTAATAAATTTATCATTTGGTTTTTTACTATAATAAACCTTTCAATAATAATTAAATTAATTAAATTGAAATTCAGAAAAGTTGTAAGAAATATTAGATCAAAATTAAGGCTAGAATGATGTCTAATTATTAAATTTGGCTGATATAATTAACCAAGATGTATTTTTATTATACTATATTTGTACTCTAGAATTATTAGCTATGTAATAATTTTTAAATCAAGCCCTTATGCCTTGTATGGGTGTAAACATTGTCTTTTCAAATGAGAACACATATTGCGAAATAATTTAAATGAAGTATTGTTTTAATATTAAATGGCATTTAAATTTTTAACATGACTTTATTCGTTTATTAAATATAAAACGTTAAATTTTTGAGTTAATATAAATGTATAATACATTTTCTTTTAGTTCTATATTTGTGTAATGATAAAAATGTTACTAAAAAAGATACTAAAAGTGATAGACATTTGATAATAGAAACCAAAATTTACAATATTGTCTTTGCTAACAAATTACAATGATTTTTATAATATATAATTTTCTTCTTCTTTATATTATAAATTATAAACGGTATTGCAATTTGCCAAAGGCGTAAAGCATTTGAGTAAATGTATTTGAATAAAAGTATTCAAATACTTTCATTGGTATTGAATAGTATTTTTAAATACATTTAATAAAAAGTATCTGAGTAGTATTTTAAATACAATTATTTAGTATTTAATACTGTTTAATATTCAGTACTATTAATATACTTTTTTTTTTTAATTTGCTAACCGTAACACAGCAAGCAAATTAAACTCAGTCAAAATGAAAATTGAGAATAATTCTCTGTTATTTTATATGTTACATTATAGTATAACATAATTATTGTGCTTATCTAAATGCTATTATGTATACATCTATTTTTAATACATCAGTTGAACCTACAATAGCCTATTGCAGGTTCAAATGATTTACTCTATTGTCAATAAGACATACTTTACAGGTTTTTACACGTGTACTAATATTTATTTTTTTCACTGATTAGTCTCCAATAATTAATTTTATTTACCTCTAACAAAAAATATCGAAAATAATAAATGAGTTCTCTTAATTTAAGAGTACTCAATATTTGACTCAAATTACCCTCTTGGTAATTATTTAGGTGGAACCTTTTGCTCTTAGTTAAAATAAAAACATTATTATTATTTTTTAATTGTATTCTTAGTATTTGAAATACTTTTGTAAACTAATTGAGTATTACTCAAATACTTTTGTATGAA